CCTAATCCACTTCTGTATAGTTCCTTTCAAAGCTCAAGGTTCCAGGATTATCTTCTGTATCTCTGTCAATTGGTTTTTCTTTTCTTTGTTGAAGAGGGTCTGTGTCACTTGTCTGCCTATTCCTCCATCTTACTGGAAGTCTAATGTGTTTATTTCTTAAAAATGGTTCTTAGAAGTGGGAGAGCTGTTGCACTATGGGAGATTACAATCAATGTCGTGAGACAAAGTGTACATGAATTGCTGTATGGAAGATTAATTTGCTCTGTAAACTTTCACTCAAATCACAGTAAAATTTAAAAGAAAAAAAAAATAAAAACAGTTCATAGAACCACTGCTCACATGGATTTTGCAGTGGTGAAACATAAATTACATATTATATAATTTACTGATTAAATGTAAAACATATGATTGTGCTAATTTAAAAATACAAATGTACTAGTTTTCAAAAGATGAAATACAATCATCCTAGTTATTCTTATGATTATTTTCAACAAGTGAAACATTTGAAAATATACAAGTTTCAGAATTGAGTAATAACTGCTAAAAATAAAAGGCAAAATGCAACAAAACAATGAATAATTTCTAGATACCATTAAAATACTGTAATGTTATATTAACATAGAGGTTTAAAGCATAACTATCATAGCCTATTAATTCAAAAAACAAATAAAGTGTTAAAAACAAAGGGAAAAAATGAAGAATAACTTGACTATAGTGATCTTTAAATAATAATGCTTTAATGTAATGACTGATATTCTTAAGGATCATTACTGCAAATGATTCAAAAAAACTTAACAATCTACTGCCTTAAACAAATATAGCAATTTTTTATATTTTTCTGGTATAACACGAACCTGTTCCAGTTCTTGTATTTTGGCATCCTTGACTTGCAAAATTTCAAGAACTTTTCTATCTTTAGCTTCAGCTTTCTGTTTTTCTCTAGAAACAAACAAACAAAATATATATAGATAGATAGATAGATAGATAGATAGATATAGATAGATAGATAGTGTATTAGTCATAACTGGTAGCTAACTCTAAAATTTTCACATCCTGAATATGAATGTCATTTTACAGTATAGAAAATTAAATTATCTGGGATTGACAGACCTTTCAGCATTAATCAGGAACCATATGGCAAGAGACAGCAACTTACAACTGTCAACAAAACAACTTCATATTAAAAGTAATACATTTTCATTGCCAGATTTAGGAACATTATTTAAAAATCTTTAAACCATCGTTTAACTGTGACTGCAAAATTTATACACAGTATTTTATGAAAAATGAAATATTTAATGTTTATAATTAAGAGTCACAAAAGATAGAGGGCCAAGATTTAGTCATTATCAACATCTAAACTAGAATTTTTTAGATTCATGACACCTGCATACACAGGTCTAGTCTCTGAGAATACTACCAACATTGCTAAATGGTGACTGTATAATCAAAGAATAGTCCTCTAGCAATCAGTTTTCTATCATCAGTCCAGAAAACAAAAAATCTAAATCCTCTCAGATAGTCCCCATCTTCAACAAATACAGCTCTAAAAAGGAAAAGGAGTAGAATGGAAAGAACAAAGTTCTAAAGACAATGTACAACTGGGTTACTATTAAATTTACATCATAAATGAGGGAAAATTTATGTGGCATTGATTTACATTATTTAAAAAACATTTAAGAGATGAAGAATAAGAATCTGTCCTTTAATCCCATATGAATAACAGAATGTACAGATAAGGAAGAAGAAAAGAATCTTCACTTCAGAAAGAATGAAATGAAACAAAGGGATCATTATCTAAACCTTAGAAGGTGGAAACAGGTATCAGAATGAAGAGATGTTAATCAGAAAAGCATACCACTGATTATAAGAGATAAATTCAGAAAATATTAAAAAAAAAAAAAACTCTAAAATTACACTTCCAATTAAGGTGGTATATAATAAGCTCACACTTTGGGGCTCCTTCTCTTCTCTAAGTTGATGATAGAAAAATATACAGGAGACCACAAATGAACAGAGCTGTCAATGGGGATGAAGCTGCTGTGTGCTATCCTCCAGATCCAGATACACACTAAGGGTAAAAGGAGTGTCACTCCTAGGATAAGAGGAAATAAAAGTACACTACTCAATATGGAAAACAAAAGCTGGGATCCTTGTTTGAAACTAGAGATTGGATTGAGCTCCCAACTCATGAAAGGAGGCTGAAAGAAGCTCTTGCAGACCCTTTCCCAGAACTATATGGCTTGCATGAAAGTCTAGAAAGAAAAAGTTTATAGATATACACCACTCTAATTAGAAACTGAGCCAAGACACCGTATGGCTCTGACACTAAATACAGCAAATATGCTGTCACTGTCAGTGAAAAGTCCCACACTACCAATATAAAACCTATTTCAGGGTAATGAGGGGGGACTGACAATTTAGTAGCAACCACAAAATTTCTAGAGAGAAAAAGAAGTTAGACAACAAGGGAGGGTAGTGGGGGGGAAATAAGAGAGAGCGCATGAACAACAGCAACAATATTCCCACTCACGATGTAACCACAAACAAAAAATTTCCAAAGTAAAAACACACATACCCACACCCAAACACAAGCTCAATAATCAGAAAATGCAATTCTAAACAAAATGAAAATAATTGAACACACTGAAAAAGACTTTAAAATTAGTAATTTTAGGATCTTCAAGTCATAAAAGAATGACAAATATTAAATTAAATAAAGTAAAACCAAAACAGGTGGATCTAAAAGTCTATTAGAATCTTTCAAACAAAAATTGTTATCACTGTGTCAAAAAACAACTTAATGGGGTAAGCTCAAAACTGGACATGAAGAAAGAATTAATGAAATGGAGAACAGCAATGAGGGATTCATCACAATGAAAAACATGGTATAGAAAAATTATGAGATAAAAAATATGAAAATACAGTTGAAACATGTAGATTTCATTGGAAAACTCCAATGTATACCCATTGAATTCCAGAAGCAGCTGATAGTGGGATGAGAGAAAAAACAATACTTTTAGGAGGTAACTGCTGAGAAAGTTTTGTAAGCAAATAGAGTTATCAGAATGAAAGAGCACTTTGAGTATATCCCCAAATAAAAAGTGAGTCATATCTAATATATTAACCCATTCAGTCAATAAGTTATTCAGCACTTAATTTATGACAGGCACTGCCCTAGAATCTAGGTATACTGCAGTGAACAAAATAAACCAAGTGGCTACCTTCATGGCATTAATATATGTTAATTAACATTAATACATGGATACTGAAGATAAATAATATATGAGTAAATGTATATAAAATGGTTGTAAGTACTGTACAAACAATATGTTAGGGGAAAAGGGATGCACAGTTTTGGAAGACTAGGGAACAAAAGGGTAAGTTAACAAATAACTCTCTCAAAAGGTGGTATTTTAACAAAGACCTGATGGAAGGAAGGGAAAGAGTCACACAGATCACAGAGTTTTTCAGGCCAAGAAACTAGCAAATGCAAAGACCTTGAGACAGGAGCATAACTGATGTGGTCAAAGAACATCAAAGAAGCAAGTGTTATCTATAGTAAAGTAGACAAAAGGGAGGATGATAGTTAAAGACAGAGAAGCCACTGGGAATAAAATAACATACGGCTTTCTAGGCCCTTTGAATTTTGGTTTTGACTCTGAGTGAAATGGGAAGATAGGATAGTTTTAAACAAAGAAATAACTTATTACAAATTAATATTCTTAAAGGATCATACTGGTTGGTAGATTGAAGATAGATCCTAAAGGTCAAGGGTAGAAGCAGCAAAACCCGTTGAGAGATAACTACAATACCCAAGGTGAGAACAAAGGTGACCTGGACAAGAGAGTAGTTCTAAGAGTTTAAAGAAATTGATAAAATTCACTTTTAAGGTAGGGCTCACAAAATTTATTAATGCTTTAGATGTGGGGTGTGAAAGAAAAAGAGGACACAAGAATGTTTCCTATGCTTCTGCAGGAGCAACTAGATGGTTGGAGTAGACATTATCAGAGACAGGTAGGATGAGATTGGGGAGCATTAGGATTGGGGGGTTTAGACATGTTACACTGGAGCACCTAATTGACATTCCAAGAGGAGTGGGAAGCAAGATAAACAAGTATGGAACCAATAAAGAAATCAAGGCCAACGATAAGACCTTAAGAATCAGACAAATCTATTTTAGACCGTAAGAGTAGATGGGATCACTCAGGGAATGATTTTGGATAGAAAACTCCAAGGACTGAGTTACAGAATACTCCATCCAACAATATAATCCACAGTCTTCTCAAGCTTACATGGAATATTCACTAAGATAGTCCACATTCTAGGTGATAAAACACATATTAACTAATTTAAAATAATGAGAATCACATAACATATACTCTCATACTAATGGAACTAAACTAACAGAAATAACTGAAAGCTAGCTGGAAAAATCTCTAAATATTTAGATATTAAGCAACACACTTCTAATAACCCACAGTCCAAAAAAATCTCAAGAGAAGTTAAAAAGAAGTATCTTGAGCTCAATGAACAGGAAAATACAATTTATGAAAATTCAGGGGATGTAGTACAAGAATGACTTAAAGGGAAATTTATAATATTAAATGCATATATTAGAAAAAAAGAAAGATGTAAAATTAATAAGCTAAGCATTTATCTTAAGTAACAAGACAAAGAAAAGACTAAGACTAAGGTAAGCAGAATGAAATAAAGAAAGAAATCAATAAAATACAGGGAAAAAAATATATAGAGAAAATCAATATAACCAAAAGATGATTCTTTGAAAAAATCAACAAAACTAACAAATTTCAGTTAGACTAACCAAAAAATCTGACTGCTAACCAGAAGGCTGGAGGTTCAAACCCACTAGTCATTCCTTGGAAGGAATACTGGACAATCTACTTCCACAGAGATACTGCCTCTGAAACCTAAGGAGGGGTCACTATGAGTCAGAATTCACCTGACAGCAGTGAGTTTTTTTAACCAAAAAATAAAGAAAGAATGCTCAAATTACTAAAACAAGGAATCAAACTGGAGGCATTGCTACAAATATTACAGACACTATTATAAGCAAATACCACAAACAACTGTACACTAATAAATTAGATAACTTGGATGAAGTGTACAAATTCCTAGAAACAAATGAACTACCAAAACTGATGCAAGAAGAAATAGAAAACTTTAATAGACTAATAACAAGTGAAGAGCTTGAATTAGTAACAAAAACACTACCAACAAAGAAAAGCCCAGGTCCAGAGAGTTTCAATGGTGAAGTCTGTCAAACATTTTAAAGATAATTAATTCCAACTCCCCACAATGTATTCCAGAAAATCTAACCAGAAGGAACACTTCCATTCATTCTATGAAACCAGCATTACTCTTAAACCAAAACCAGATAAAGAAATTACAAGAAAACAAAAATACAGAATGTCTCTCATGAATATAAATGCAAAATCCTCAACATGTATACAATGTTTCATTAACAAATCTAATCTAAATATGCATAAGAGTAACTATACACTACAGAGAAGTAGAATTTATTCTGGTTATGCAAAGTTGTTTCACCATTCAAAAATCAATGTTATCTCAGATTAAGGTAGAGCTCACCAGATTTACTGATGCATTAGATGTGGGGTGTGAAAGAAAAGGAGGACACAAGAATGTTTCCTAGGCTTCTGCAGGAGCAACTGGATGGTTGGAGAAGACATTATCAGAGACGGGTAGGATGAGATTGGAGAGCATTAGGACTGGGGGCTTGGACAGATTGAAGATTTTATTAATTGAAGAGAAAAAACCATTTGACAAAATCCAACATCCATTCATGATTAAAAAAAAAAAAAAAAAAAAAAAACCTCTCAGAAAACAAAGAATAGAGGAAGAACTTCCTCTACATAATAAAGAATATCATTATCAACAACAACAACAAAAACTCTCAA